TAACTGTCGCAAAGAGTTTCTACACTCCGGACTGCTCGCCTTGACTACTTCCAACACCGCTTCCTACGTCGTGGACCTGTTTCCTTCCCTTCCTATAGCATTTTAGTATTGCAGGTATATTAATCTAACTGCCACAAAGGGTTTCTACACTCCGGACTGCTCGCCTTGACTACTTCCTTTATTGCTTCCTAAGTCGTGGACCTGTTTCCCTCCCTTCCCATAGCATTTTTAGAATTGAAGATACATTATTCTAATTGTCACAAAGGCTTCCCACACTCCGGACTGCTCACATTGACTACTTCCTTCACCACTTCCTACGTCGTGGACCTGTTTCTCTCCCTTCCCTTAGCATTTTTAGAATTGCAGATACATTATTCTAACTGTCATAAAGGCCCCCCACATTCCGCAGCGCTCGCCTTGACTACTTTCTTCACTATTTCCTTCACTACTTCCTACATCGTAGACCTGTTTCCCTATCTTTCCATAGCATTTAAGTTAATTTTAATTTAAGTTATTAGTTGTTATAGCATTTACAGATACGTTAATTTAACAGTCATAAAGGGTTTCCGTACTCCTTTCTTTTCACTGCTCACCTTTCCGCTTCCTTTACCACTCTCTACGTCGGGGACCTGTTCCCCCCCCTTCGCATAGCATTTTAGTACAAAAATATACCAACATCTTTGAATATTTAATATTCAATGCCAACATTAAATTGAATAATGTAAAAAGCTGCTTTGTTCTAAATACATACAAACCTATATACTTTTAATTTAAAGGTGAATTTTAATACTGAACATAAACGGTATATAACTGCCGACTAATATTGTTAAGTTCAATTTATTATTCTAAAAGTTGTGAAATTTAATTAGCTTAAATAACATTATTCTGAAAGCTGTGAAATTATAATGATATATATTCATCATAGACGCCAAACTGTTTACTACATGAATGAAAGAGCTTAGAGTAAAAGTCGTTCTCTCTGCCTTAAGTAGACAACAAAATTGTTGGTCGCAAAACGTAAACAAATAAAAAGAAGAAGAAGGTAGCTCCTAATGTTATTCTTATGGGACAAATTTAAAAATGTTTTTTAAGTATTTTATAATTACTACTGAGCGGAATCGTCTAGAATTTTAATGGTGTCTTTACACTGGTGTCATAACTATTTGTGCAAAATTTGAACGTTATAAGTGCAACGGTTCTTGAGTTTTAGGTGCGAACACACTCACGGACTCACGGACTCACAGACAAGCGGACAACTTTTCTCCGACTCCGCTATACACGATACATAGATTCGTTCACTCATCTATTATCAATTGCATGCACCCCACATTTTTTTGTTTTAAATCTTACAAGTATTTATACTCTCCACATATTTATAAACTATTTTCCACTTTTTAGTGCATTTAAAAACGTTTTGTTTTGTTTTAAAAAGTTGTTTATTTATAAACTATTTTATACTTTTTAGTTTTTAATGTGTGTGGATATTAAATCTATTCCATGCATCTATATCAGATTAGGACAGAGGCATGTGGGAAATCTAAGGTTTATTTGAGTTTCTTTTCATATAATTATGTATTAGATTGAATGTATGGCCTGATTACTAACTATAAATATTATATCAATCTATTTAATTTATTGTTTACTATATAGAATACTAAATAAATAACAAATTACATTATTAACAAACACCTTTATATCTGCAATCAGATTGTTTTATCTTTATTTTGAAATGTTTGTTTGTATAAAAAATCTCTTGGGAGCATAACTACCTCTTACCCTCTTAACCTCTGCTCTTTGAACTGTCAAATTTAAGTATTAACAGCTGACATAAATTAATTGATATATTTACATTCTTTCAAAATGTAAACATGAAAAATTTGGAAGCCAGTGGGGCGTAGCCCAAGGGAAATATGAAAATTAAATTATATAATATTGCATTGTTAGCCATTTGTGAGCTATGTTTCAAGTTTTATGTCTCTAGCTCATCGGGAAGTATCAAAATTTTCAAGAAAGCGAGTTAATAAAAACAAGCCCGTGGGGCGTAGCCCAAAGAAAATATGAAAATTAAATGATATAATATTGCATTGTCTTCCATTTGTGAGCTATGTTTCAAGTTTCAAGTCTCTAGGTCATTGGGAAGTTAGTATAAAATTGATTGCAAAATTTGTACCGGACAAGAAAGCGAGCTAATAAAAACGTTTTAAAATACAACTTTTTGTCAACAAATAATTATTTTTATAATGTATGGACATTAAAGACAAGCAGTGCTCACAATGAAGCATAAATATAAAATATGTTTTATATTTATGCTTAAGTTGTGTTATGACACAACTCGTCAGGTTAAGCATGGCCGGCGAGATGCGCTAGCACTGTACTGGCGGCAACCGAGTGGCGAGTGAGCTCGCTAGTGCTACTAACTGCTCGCTAGTGTAGTAGCTTTGTTTACATCCCGATTCCCGCCGCCCGTGTTGACGTGTATGTTGTAAACCAACCGGCAAACGGGTTGTACTTGTATGAAATATTTGATCAACTAATAAGTTAACACTTTTAGTAAGTTTCGTGATATTATTACTGATGTCCTATTAGAGTATGTAGCCATACTACGATTTTTTCGGTTTTAGTAATAATTTAAATTTAAAGGTGTGTTGATACGTGGTGATGTTATTGTGAAGTGGGTGTTCGTGGTTCAAATGGGGTTCAAATTATGCTTTTGTACATTCATTTATATCATACGGAATTAGTGTGTACGGAGGGACCTCAAAATCAAACCTTAATCAAATACTTCTGTTACAAAAGAAAGCTATTAGATTAATGCTATGTTTAAATTGGATTGAAAGTGTATAGTATCATTTTTATAATTTGGAAATCCTGACAGTGTTTGGAGTTTATATATACGAGACAATAAAATATACTAAGCAGCACCATTTACCAAAAATACAGTTAGAACTAAGTAGGCCTACCAGTAATAGATATAATTAATACCAGAAATGCACAATATGTTATACAAAACAGACATAATTTAGAATTTTATAAAAAAAACACAGTGTATAGAGGCCTTAAAAGATATATAAATTTTTTACCAAAAGATATAAAAAATGAATGTAGTAGTAGGAAATTTTACTTTAAACTAAAAAATTACCTAGTAGAAAAAGCAATTTACTCCTTTGAGGAATTTTACAATTTAAAATATTGTGAATAGACAATAAGTCAGGGCCGATTTACCGAATAGGCACGGTAGGCACGTGCCTAGGGCGCGAGGCAATTGGTTTTTTTTGGGGGCGCCAAAAAATTGGAAAATAAAAAAATTGTGGTTGTATTTGCATGCGATCGCGGTAAACTTCTGATGATCCCTCGCGGCCGTGTAGACATCGTAATCGTCTCCCGCGATTGCGGCAAAATTCTGACTATTTTCCGCGGTCGTGTAGAAATAATTATCGTCTTCCATGATCGCGGCAATATATGAACATATTCCGCGGTCGTGAGGAGATTGTCATCGTCTACCGTGAATGAGGCAAAATTCTTATCTTTTACCGTGGTCGTGTGGACATTATCATCGCCTTGCGCGATCGTGGGCAAAATCTGATCAACACTCGCGGCCGTAAAGACATCATTAAGTTGTCACCCGTGGTCATGTAGATATGGTAATCGCCTCCTGCGATTGCAGCAAAATAGTATTAATCTCCCACGCTCTTTTGGAGATCATTAGGCCTACCGTCTTCCGCAAATAAGGCAAAAAATTTTGATATTTTCCTGCGATCGAGTGGACGGACATTACATATTCTTGCGCGATCGCAATAAAATTCTGATTACCCCTCACGGCCGTGAAGACATCTTTATATTGTTCCCAGTGATCGTTTGAACATAGTAATCGCATCCCGCCATTGGGGGAAAATGGTAATCATCTCCTGCGACCATGTGGAGATCATCGTCTTCCGTCAATGGAAAAATTCTGATTTTTTCCCGCGGTCATGTGGACATTATCATCGTCTTGCACGATCGCGGCATAATTCTACATCCCTCTCGTAGGCCTATTATTATTGTATCTCCCGCAGTCCTGTAACCATCCTAATCATCTTCAGCGGTCGTGAAAACATCCTAATCGCCTCCCGCAATTGCGGCAAAATGTTAATAATTTCCCGCAGTTGTGTGGAGATCATTATCGTCTTCGGCGATCGTGGGCAAATTCTTGCTGTTTCCCGCGGTCGCGTGGGCATTATCATGGTTTTCCGTGATCGCGGCAATATTCTGATCATCCCTCGTGGCTTTGTAGATATCATCATGGCGGTCTGTTGTTATGCGGGATCACGGAAAAATGACAATTCCAGGTAGAAAATACAAATTTAATGCATAATTCCCGGTTTAAAAAACTCACTCATAATTCACGGATTTCCCAGTTTTCCCGATTTGTGGACACCCTGTTATGTATATTGCAAAGGGGCGCTACTATTAGTTGTGCCTAGGGCGCTGACAGGGTCAAAAACGGGCCTGCAATAAGTACTCACTGACTCTATTCTTTGTACTTGTACATTCATGAATAAAGGAGATTTTGATTTGATTTGATTTGATAACCAAACCAACTTCTAATCAGGTGCCTCAAATTATAAAAACCCATCTATTTTATGTCTAAAATTTCTAAAATTTCCAGGGGAGCACTACCGTAACCCACTCCTACAGACCCCCCAGACTGATCCCATGGCCGTGGAGCGGGTGGTTAAATTTTGGGGGGGACTCGCGCACCTTTGGGTTTTTTCGTCTTTTGGGGGGGATGGGCACCATGGGCATCATCGGCCAATGTTATTAAGTTTTTGATTCAAACAAATATTTAGGGTGGAAACTATAAAATGTTATAATTTAAATTATACATGGAATTCACCCTGGAGTTGACTGAGTTGTCAATTTAATTGACATATATGTATAAATTTCTTAAAATTCCCTGTGTGTTAGGGCATGTCAGACTCCATAGAGTGAATGTATTTAGGCTAAGATAGTTGCAAACTTACAGATTTACAAACGGATTCCAATGAATGGATTTCCTTCTCAATTTCTGTAATACGATATTCATCTTTGGTCTGTGGCTCCCTGACTGACTAAAACATAAAGACAGTATTGTAATTGAGATGAACATACCTACCTAATTATTGTGGTGTAACCTATATTAAAATATTAGCACATTAACTTAGGTACCTAGGTACTTAATGTTATTTTTCTTATTTATATGTCTCGAGTGTTAAGTGCAGGGCCGGACTTAGGACTTCAGAGGCCCCGGGCGAATTTGCCGATGGGGCCCCCAGTATGATTATACGAGAACATATACGGTACACAATGTAACGCATTTACATGCACACTAATTTCAAATAGCTAATTTCAAGGTGAATTAATATGTAAACCTGTTGGAATGCTGTATTTTGCATAAACTAATTGTATGTAATATTTTAAGTCTGAAAATAGCTACAATGTACGGTGTTATTTTATGATTTGTTCTTGTTGTAATTATTGTATTTATAAAATTGTAATATACCTAGCAGGTACCTTACACATTTTTTGCAATACATTAAAATGTAATATCCTTTGCAACAAATAATGAAAACTATAGATAAAATAAAAATAAAATAACACGTACTTGTAAAAGGTTTAATTTAATTTATTTACTGTAATACACATTCTATTTGGTGCTTGAATGAAAACTCAAATGAAAAATAACTAACATTAATTAATGGAATAAGTTATATTTAAACACGTGATGTAAGTCAGAGATAATGCATAAACTTTTAAAGCTTTAATATATTTTATAACTTACTATAATTTTACTAACAAACCTTTACTGTACTAAGTTTATAAGATACAAGTCAAAACAATTTTAAAGTTTACTTTTTATAGATTAATCATTATAAAGTTTAGAACATAGTTATTTTCCCTATAAATAAATGTCACTTCCTACTCTGATACGTTGGTCACGTTGGCATGGCAATTAAAACCTCCTGCTTTTCCTACATTTCTTGGCTGCACTAAAACTATAAAATCATAAACTATGACTTATGTTTATTTTCATAGTGGTTTTGGCATGGAATTCTCGTTTGTATAATATGTTAAAAGTCCTAGCATGAAAAGTACCATTAAGAACTTTTACGAGTTTGAGTTTTTTTCTTGACGAGTAAAATGTTACAATACAAGTCTAATAACCAATCACAAGCTAACCATTTATATGAGTGAACTGAAAGATGTTTAAATGTATTCAATATAAATTAATACAACACAAACATAACATTCAATACAACATTAATTTGTTCTTTGTAGTGTTTGCAGAATTAATAATAAAATACAACACAAATGTATGATAATGTCAACCAAAAACACACTGGGAGTGATTTAAATTGTTTTGGATTGGCGATAAGGCATTGTATGTATGTGTATGCGCGTGCGTGAGACATACAAGACTAGACAGGATCCCTTATCAGCTCATTATCATTAATTGTTGCAGCTGCTTGTTGAGCGCTTTTTTACGATTACAGTCGACAACGCTCGCCCGCTCCCAAATAATGTAATTTTTGTTAACATCAGACGACCCTAGTTGTCATAAAATGTCTATATAGATTTTTTATCCTACTGGCGCTGAATGATTTTGACTCTTTGATTTTGATTTTGATCGACTAAATTGAAGATCCGAATTTCGACGTATAACTTAATTACTATTTTATAAAACCTTTTAATTGAATGGGTAATATAATACTTCTGCCCCTTAAAATCGTGAATGGCATATACTTAGAGGTAAAAGAATAACATCTAATAAAACAGATTTTTCAAACAATGTTTTTATTTTTCAAAAGTATTAAATCTCAATTGAATCTCCATTTAACCCCAACACAATTGTACAAGTTACGTTCTACGTTAGGACAAGAGTTTTCATATTATTTATTGTATTTTTTGCCCCAAGCGAAGGGGCCCCCTTCAACTTGATCACCACGGCCGTAGGTTTGTGTGAACGGCTTCATTGAAACTCAAACTGGTCCGTCACAGCCTAGCAGCTATGCTCGTGTAAACTAGATCTAAGCGCGGGGCCCAGTGCAACCCTGAGGAAAAGTCCCTTAGAGTCAAGAATTTTGGTCCTAGTAATACCTTAAAGTTCATCTAACAATAACCTTAAATATAAGATAACGACAATAAAGCTGTTAAAAAAGAAGATCATTCGGTAAGTGTCTGATTAATTTTCGAAGATATTAATAAAAACTACTGTGCAAGGGGCCCCTTCGGGGCCCGGGGGCCCCGGGCGCTCGCCCCGTCCGCCCCTAGGTAAGTTCGGCCCTGGTTAAGTGATGCCTAAACTTCAGTTACCTAAGTTAGTTTGTGCGGAGGTAGATTTTGAGTAAAAAAAAATTGACTGTAAACTTGACCTGGGAAGTTATTTTCTTTCTTGTCTGAATGACTAACTTATTATATCAATATAACAATATTCAGTAGTCATCCCTGTTTGGTTTTCATGAAAATTATCACAATAGATTGTCAATCAATTCATAAAAAAATTATTTTTCTATTGTAACTTATTTTTATCCAAACGCTAAAATTAGGCTAGGCCTAGGTGATTTTTGTTGGCAAAACTTTGGGCTGCACTTTACTTTAGGTCCTACACTCAGAATTCAAATGAAAATATCAATCGATATATCGATTAATCGATTGTTTCATTCGATATATCATTTGGTTGGTTAGGTAAGGTTAACCTAACCTAACTAACCAAACGATATTTCGAATGAAACAATCGAGTAATCGATATTTTCATTCGAATGAGTGTAGGACCCAAAGTAGGCTTAAAGTGCACAGGGCCGGATTTCCCAATAGGCCCGGGCCTATGGGCGCATGGTCCCAGAGGGCGCACGGCCGAGAGTAATTTTTTTATACCTAGGCTCCCTAAAATAAAAAGTCATAACTTAGTTGATAAAAAAACTCCAAATCATTGTGATTCTGAATTTCATAAGAAGAAATAATTGTTAGGAAATGTAATCTATTTTCAGAATCACGCATCAATTTCATTACAAAATTTGGAAAGGTCAAAGAACATTGGTTATACGGGAGTAGGCTCTAGGGATGTTGACGATGACGAGCGCCCAAGGGGTATGCATGCTGGCTCGGGCTCGGTACTATTGGTCAGATTGATTAGGGGCGCATGCGTGCTAGACATCACTCTCACCTCAAAAGTTAAGTCTTTTGATTAGTTTACAACAATCTGCAGGATCAAGTTAAAATATATAATAAGTTGTGTTGAATATCAAATCAACGATGTACTTACCTTTCAAATTAACGAAAAAATATTAATCTCAGTTTGCATTAGATTTTAGAAAAATTCAATACCCTCCAAAACATCATTAATGCTGTCATTTTCTCCTCAGACCTATGTAAGGTCGGTACGGTTAGCCGGAATATTGCTCTGTTTTGCTTTGGAAACCACTCTGCATATTTAATCTAGATGCAGTACGACCATATATTAAATATTACTCAAGTCGGATTCTGATGACATTGTTAATTCTAATTTTTTTTATGTCTAGTTCATGTTGGTGAGACTGTACGTTAGTTTTGACGTAATTTTAGTAAAATAAACAGGAGACGACATATTTTTAATCATTAGACCGTTTTATTTTGGATAAACTAGGTTTAAACATAGATAAAACATACTCCTTAAACAAAATAACAAGAATTGTTTTCAGCTAATCCAAAATGATGACAAATCTACTAAAGGAGCAGGTTTAATCTATGGTATGACGTACTGTATGGAGTTCATGTTTATTGGGCCCGTAATTGGAATCAATGGCCATGTATTTTTTGCAGGAATGCTCTGGTCGTTGAGTTTTTTCTTTCAGTCAGTCCCACCACGGCCACAAACGTGAGCATTTATTAAAAGCATAAAATTGCTAAATAACGTGTTTAAGAAGGCATTTTGTTAAGGCTAAACAAGTCAATTCTTAAAAAAAACTTGCTCTGATTCCAAAGAGGAGTGTTATTCAAGCAGTTAACTTAGGCCTATGGGAATTATTTAGTTTTTAATAAAGATTTGAAGAAATGTGACCAGACTAGGGGGCGGAAAATTATTTGGGCCTAGGGGCGCAAAAATGCAAAATCCGGCCCTGAAAGTGCAGCCAAACTTTGATATCTGACTCCAATACAATATCAATTGATCTAGCTTAAAATCAATATCAAATGTTTGGGTTTTGATTAACTAAAGTTCGTTTGGTAATTACGTAATTAATTTGTTACCTTAAGTTTGGTTAAATGCTATCCATCGAATCGATACTTTTATTGTTTGATAATCCGATGGAGTCATCGGCTAGGCCTATCAAAGTTTCACAATATTTTATATTAACTTAATTAGGTCTAAGTTAACCCAGACTCAATGAGAAATAAACTAGTTGCCTAACTTCACAAACTACTTAACAGTTAAAAGTTAAGTAGGCCTAAGTTATATCCAAAATAGAAGTGAATAAAACTACATAATAACTTAATAAGTTATCTAGGCTACAAAAAAGGCTAAGTTTGTTAATGGCCTGGCCTAGCCTATTTCTAATGTGATACAACTTATGCGTCCACATAGCCTGGTTTTTAAATTGTCCACATAGCCTGGTTTTTAAATTGTTCATAGTTCAAACACTTATCATTTAAACTTGTTAGTGTTAGAATTTATTACACTTTACCATTACAAATATAGTAATCAATAGTGGAATATTGCAAATAATACAATTAGTTATTGGATAGGCTAGTCAATTTAAAATAAAATTTCTAAAACTTACAACTATACTGGAACTTGCAATACTTGTGAAGTTAGTGTTGGGATACGAAATAATAGTACATGCTTTGTGATCAAAAACAGACGAGTTTTCACTTAATTGGAAATTTTTCACACTCATTTTGAGTAGTAATGTAGGGGAGCCTCCAAAAACGTAGTTCTGGTCTTAGTTGTGAAATCTACATAAAAAATAAAGGTGCAGGAAAACCATGCAAATATATCATACTGCCATCATTCTCAGTGTTGTCTTCTGAGCATACACAATCTTCTTCATGTTTATTAAATTTTAAACTTTCACGTTTCTAATTACTGTAAACTTGTTAATTTTTAAATTAATTGTATCATTGTATTCAAACTACTGTAACTGTACAAGCAACTAGTAATCAAACATAATCACAGCCGCAATCTATAACCTAAGTTAACTGAATATATACGATCAAACAAACTGTTCCTTTTCCATCCTACACAACAATAATAAACAAACAATAAACATAGATCGATGAAGGAAACGGAAGTTTAAGACCATTGATATGAATATTAAGACCAAGCAAAGATAACTGAATGGTAATAGGAAGTAAGATATTTTATTATTTGCATTATACAGTTTGGTCGATGCCAAGATGTACAGGTAGTTGAAAGCGGCCGTGGTACGATTCGGCCGCACAATATTTTTATTTCAGCTGTGGTTTTTTAATACGGAGAAAATGAGGGTTAAAAATTAAAACTTATAAAATTAAGAAAAATTTTTTAAATTAACCAGGGGTGGCTCCAGCCATGGCCACCTTTAACCAAAGGCGGCCGTGCTCCAGCACCACCAGCACGGATTCTCGGAGGGGCCATTACTTGGAATCTTGGGCTGTGGGCTGTTTACCCCCTAAACAACGGGGATCTGGAGGGTATTCCATACTTTTGTAAATTAGAACACAGGCGCTTATAGGCCCTGTCCTGTTGGTATTGAAATCCTGGTACCGTACTCACATTTTGACGTTGATTGTTGGCACAAATACTTGTTCTAAATACCGATGGTGCCGAGATTTTCCTTTAGGTATCAACACAAATCTAATTATAATAATATTAAATTATTATGAACATACGTTTTTTTGAAATTTTCTCCTGCTCCAGGGGGGGGGGCTCCCTGGAACCGCCCCTGAAATTAACCTTAAAATAATAGAAACAATAACTCGGCGACACTATCGATCAGTGTCATCGGACATGAATTATAGACACGATAAACGAGATTCCAAAATGTACAATGGGATGAGAAGTCTGCTTGTGTTGGTTTAGTCTATGCCAAAACATGCATGCGGGTATCGGTTTGGCAGTGCTGGGAGTAGGGGTGAATAGCAAGACACAAAATATGTTTTCACAAAAGTACCACACCAACCTCCACGCCCATACCATAGATAAAACATATGTTTTATCTATGCCTATGCCCGACCGGATCTGGGGCCCTATTTTTGAAATGGTTGACAGTTGAGTCAATCGTCAGCACTCAACTCAACCAACAACATGATTTGGTATTTTTGAAACCCAACAGTTGGGAAGCGAGTTGGGAATCACTAGTTGAGAGACTCGTGGTGGAAATGTAGAGCATACGACCGTCAAAAATTCAGATGACGTCATTTTGAACCAATCACAATGCAGAGTTCTTGCGGACTTCGATTAACCTCTTCTTACTCTAAAATCTGGCAGCTAATCTCAATCTGCCATATTTCGAGACACTGAGGTAAACTGTCAACTCCGTTCTTGAGAGATTGAGATTGAGGTTATGTCTTGCTTAATCTTAGTGATTGCAAAGTACCTTAACTTAAGTAATTAACTAAAGTAAACTAAATAAAGTAATAAACTTAAGTATAAAAAATAAAATTTACTATGGATGTTTGTTTTAGGGTGTAGCTAATTATAAGTTTAGGCATAGGCTACACTTTACTTTAGGTCCTACACTGATCCTAAATACATTATTATTTGCTTTCTTCGTCTCTATTTCGGAACACATCACCTTATTTTAGTTTCCTTCATCGGTTTGTTTTATGTTATTTTTAATTGTTTTTTATTTAGGTTAAAGCGGCTATTTGCCATTGCACTGAAAGCATATCGTAACTTAAATTAATTTGATCCCTTTATTAGGCGAATGGTATTGAAACAAACTATGATATTGTTTTTCTCTACCACAATCTTTAATACCTTAAATCATAGGTCTAATAACAATAATTATCTTATAATAAGTTCAATTAGTATGGCTAGTCTATTTCAAACATTCCAACAAGAATAAAACCCTTGATTAAATAGTCTAGTATTGACACAGTAAATAAAATTAAAATGCGATTATTCTACAGAAAACAATCGCCTAATTGGGTGCTAATACATTGACAACAAATACATAACCTCTAAATCGCAATTAGTAAATTAAAGCAATAACAAAACAATATGGCGTCGTCTCAAAAAGAGTAATTTTTTGCCGAAAGAGAGGAAGAAGAAAGTGCAGTCAACCTCCACTCAACAGCTCGATAGGTGTTGAGTAGTTTTGGTTGTATAAGTCCACCGTCAACAGTTTCAAAAATACGAAACGATTGGAAATAGAATGACTCGACACTCAACTCAACAGTCAACCATTTCAAAAATAGGGCCCCTGGTCACGTGCACAGAAACTTTGGCCGAACCGCATAATTTTTATTTCAGCTGTGGTTTTTTAATACGTAAAAAATGAGAGCATTCTATTGGCTAAGGGAACACCATTGGTCAAACTGTACCTATGGAGTATTAAATACTCCGTACTTAATAAATGATATTAAGCATAGTACGTGTGTAGTAAGTTATGATTAGTACAATGTAGACCGTCCATAATCTGGCACTGCACCACTCCGGCACTCCATGTAATCCGGCGTCTTTTGACGGGTGTGGTGGGGAATTGAACTTGAGACACGTTTGTGTAAGAGTTTAATTCACATTGTCTAGTGTGACTGTATTTAGGAGCTTAACGGTAACGGAAACATCATAATCGTCTTCCAACGTCGCGGCGAATTCATTAAAATTTTTCGCCCTATTTGTAGACATATTCATCATCTTCAACGATTGAGGCAAAATTCTTACCATCTCCCGTGACCGTGTAGACATCATCGTCATCATCACCAACTCCCGCGGTCACGGTAACGTCATCGTCGTCTTGCATGATCGCGGCAAAATCATGAATACCTCCCACGGTTGTGTAGGCGTTGTCGTCGTATTCCATGATCATGGTAAATTATGATCATCTCAAGCGGTGGTTTGGGCAATATCAACGTCTTCCGTCCGTGGTCATCGTCGTCATGTGTCATCGGTGCAATAGTGATTTTCGAAGGTGTGGGCACATGTGTAGTGTAGGGGATTGGTATCGGAATCAAATTTTGACGATCGATTGCGATTCTCGATACGGATCTCCAAACAGGTGGTCTTGAGAAGTGACAAATCCCTACTCATAATAATTGTTTTGGTACAATAAAACACTTGTTTTGTCCATTTTAAGTTGATTGATGACATTCAAGTGAGCCGGAATCTTCACTAATCTGGCGCAGTATCATCCTATATCTGCCGGATTACTACGAGTCTACTTTTCATACATCAATTTACATGTAAACCATTGACTTTGAATGATACAAGATACAAAAGTATACTCATACTATTGTAAAATGTGAAGCTTGCGTGCGTTTCATGTTGGTGATGTTTTAGCGTTTATGAGGCTAAATCTCAAACTTTGGTTGTGTCTTACTTTTGGCTATTTTTCTATATAGCACCATCAATACCTTATAATAATAAAGCTATATATTTTTCTTTGGTGAAAAACAACAAACAAATACAGAAGTAGTAAACAACATCAACAAAACAGTCTCGGCGTTGTTGTAGTGGAAATTACTTTAAGAAACAAAACAAATGAAATTCTTGACACACGATTACAATTTGAATACCTACTGTGTACGAAACTATTATTGCCCTATCGATCACAAAAATGTGTTCGCACTCATATAAACAGTTATGATTAAGTCCACGAAGGTTGGCAGAACTGATCTGCCTGAGAAGAATACACGTGAATTCGCTGCCGGTTAATCTGTGATTATATCGTGTTAGTAGGCTCTGTTTGAGGAATCTGCTGTTATACTGTGGCATTTTATTGTTTTGTGATGTGTTTTAACACTTCAAACGGACCTTGTAAGTAGTTGAATGTTACAAACAAACAGTGTCACTAACCCTACGATAGGCCTGCCAGCGAGAACTGTAAATACGACTGCGCATTCAAACCCGCGCATGTCCATCTGTTGCTGTCCCTGTACTACCATCCTGACAGCACCAAATAACACTACCCGGCTGCGCCGCCCCGGCTTGAGATGCAACCATCAAAACATGCACGTGTAGCTGTCTGCCGCTTGTAATCTGCAGGAACCGGGTGAAGTCTGCTAGTCGTCTTGCGATTGTCTTGCTTCCCTGCGACTCGGAGGACATCTGCGGCCAGGCTCCGAGTCTGTATAACCAACACCGAGATCTGACTCCATCCACTCTATTATTTTTGCTTATTCAACATTGATTTTACTGTTATGTGACTAATACAAACTTTAATTAAAGTATTATTGCTTACTTAATTTGTTGTTGTTGTGTATAAACATGAGTTTCATAGAAAATAGTTTGTTTTAGCGAATTTCCCTATAGGGAAGTAGCTATTACCGTAGGTCTCATGGTAAGACTTAGGCCCGGGACCGATTTACTTTTTCATTTTGATGTCCCCAGAGGCCAAAAACACCATTCGTTCAAATTTTTATATATGTATATATATATATATATATATATATATATATATATATATGTGTCCGTGAACACGATAACTTGAGTAATTTTTATCCGATTTTGATGAAATTTGGTTTGAAGGTGTAAGGCGGGATAAACTTGAATGAGTTCGCGATCCAGCATGATCGGACCATGGGAACAGGGTTTTATGGGGGGTTTTATGGGGTAAAAAAAGGTTTTTCTCACTTTTGACCCTCAAAACACAAAATTTCCCAATTTTTCTCTAAACCTTCTTGAAGAGCTTAAAAAAACAAACAATTCAGTATATCAAAGTGTTTTTTTACGGTTATTGGTTACGGAGAAAACTAAAAAAATGGTAAATTTAAAATTCCCATGTTATTCTTATGGAGAATATTTCCAAATGTTGTAGTTTCCTTGTTTATGGATATATTTTGATCAAACTTGGCAAATTTATTTATTTTATAGTAAGCTATCAATATTTTACTAAAAACACACTTTATTAGTTTCCTTGTAGCAGCATACCTAGGTACTCGTTAAACCTAAGATGTTATTTAAATAGATCAATTGAAAATCAATTCAGCCAAATGGAA